GATGGCTTGCGTGATCGCATTTACAGAACGTGCTTGCAGTCCCATATTCGTACCCTTTGCCTGACTGACGCAAATACAGACATTGTGCTCGACTGGATGGCGCACATGCTGCAGCATCCCAATATCAAACCACAAAAGGGCATCATCCTTGTTGGTCCACCTGGACGTGGGAAGACCCTCTTTGCTACGTTGCTCACGCAGCTCATGGGAGAAGACAGTGTGTACCGTACCAATACACTGAGACAGTTGGTGGAGGGATCTCACAATCACCATATGGAGGGCAAGACGTTCGTCCATTTGGAGGGGTGCGACCTCCGCAACGAGCTGTCCAACATCTGCACATTCATATCAGACCAAAGCATTCACATTCGGCGACCATTCCAACAGTCCTACATGCCACCTCCCCACTGAAAACGAAAATCTAAGTTTCAAATCTCGAATAAATCTCGAAGCACACTTGATGCTCACTTGGCAGGTAACATATGCGCCACGCCCCAACCGCTCCTCTGGTCGCCGCCGGCCTCCGCGGCGGCGGCGATGTCCCAGCGCCACCCATCGGCAAGCCCTCAGATCGATCGATCGGCGCTCAAAGTCGGCTTCAGATCCGAGAACGCTGCTGGCGCCGCCGCCGATCCCAGCGGCGACGCCAGCAGCTTCCTCTGCTCTCCAATGCGCCGAGAAGCGACGCGGGGGTGCTCGGCCCGCCGTGGACGACGAAGGATCCGCCGGGCGCGCGTCGGCCGGTCCGGTGGCACCCTCCGCGCGCGGCACCTGCCGGCGTCCCGACGACAGCCGTCGCGCCGCCGCTGATGGAGGGGCGGTCGGCGCCGCTGCCGCCGCGCCGCCGGTGGGAGGGGCACTGGTGGTGGCCTGGGCGGCCCTCCGCCGCCGCTCGCGGGGCGCCCGGGCAGCGGTGGCAGCCTGCGCTTCTTCTTTCTACTAAGCAAAATTCGAGCCAATTGAGGAAACTCAAGCGGGCAGGCTGGAAGCACTGAGGGACGGCCGATGGTCGCCCAGTGGCAGGCCTGATCTTAGAATCGCTCCCTCTGAGACTATGATTACGACGAATCGAATCTCTGTCAGTCGCGCGTCGACAGATTTAGGACAGATCCCACGTCCGCCGAATCATGCAAACGCCCTCCACAACCTCTCAAACTCGCGAGTATACTCTCCGATGAGGCCCGGCGCACCGCTCGTGATGGCCACATTCTCGTAGTTCGTAAGCACTGCCGCCCGCGTCCAGTTGAAGCTGCCGTTGACCAAAGTTGTGCCGTCGACCAGCGCAAACTTGTGGTGCATGTGCGCCTCCTTCTGGTGATCCGTACGCAGCGTCACGCCCGGGGTTCGGGCTAGTTCGGACACGTCCGAGCCCTGGCTGGTAGCTTGTATGTCGTCTGTGATGACCCGCACTCGCACCTTGCGCTTCGCAGCCGCGATGATTGCGTCGGCGAGCTCGTTGCACGTTATGGTGAAGACGCAGACGTCCAGCGTCGTCGTCGCGTCGCCAATCACCGCGAGCAGCTGCATCAGCGACGAACGGGAGGCGTCGTGCTCGTACGTGCAGTGTTTTCTCCTGCAGGGCTGTCCCTTGAGCGCCTGCCGACAAGGCATTGCGCGGTCCGGGAAGAAGAGGGCGCGCTGTTGAGGCAGCGGGCCAGCAATCGAGAGGCAGGCGCCCATGGCTGCGCAAAAAGCGGGAGCTCTCCGGCCACGCCTCAGTGAAGCGGGCGAAGCGTACGACGGCGCGCTCCTTGCCAGAGGTGCCTCAGCGCCGTTTGCTGGTTTCTTATTCTTGTACTA